TGGAACATTGAAAACAAATATATTTATATATCTAAAACATATAAAAAATAAGAAAAAAATATCTATCTATATTTAAAATAATATTGAAGTTAATGAATAATTTATTATCAAGGTTATATCTTTTCATTGAAAATTAGATTTTACCTTTATGTGAATGTAGTGTAAGAAAAATTTTATTCTTTAACAAATTTAAATTTTTCTGATAGAACTATCAGTTATATCTTCTACATATAGTAATTATGTATTTATATATTCATTTGTTGCAATATCATTTTTAGAGGATTTAGTTTACATGGAGGATGAACAACTTCTGGACGAATATATTCTGAATGATGTTGGAAAAATTTGGGTCGGAGCATGGGGAAGTGCACGTGGTAGAGAATGGATATTCGGCCAATTCGACGCATATGTGCTTAAAGCTTGTCAATTACTATTAGAAAGATCTGGCATCAAAGCTAATTCCAGAGGAGATCCGATTCAAATGTGTAGAGCTATTTCTAGAGTCGTAAGTTATTGAATCATTCCTAAAAAAAAAAAATAAAAATAAAAATAATCGAAATAATCAAACAAAATCATCTGAATAATTTTATAAATAATAATTTTATAATAATTTTAATAAATTTGTAAACAAGTTATAAGTTATTTTGTCCAATATTTTTTATGTTCAGTCATTATTTTCTATTATCATTCACGAAAATTTTTAAATCTTCCTCGAGATTCGAATTATTTCTTGAATCTACTTTTCATTTTCTCTAATTTAATACAAAATCTATCATCCACAGGTAAACTCCAACGACGACAAAGGAGTGGTGACTGGTCGATGGGATGGCGATTATCAAGATGGTACTGCGCCGGCTGCTTGGACCGGAAGTGTACCAATTCTCGAGCAGTTCCTAGAAACAGGAGAATCCGTCAAATACGGTCAATGTTGGGTGTTCGCCGGTGTTGTGACCACCGTTTGTCGTGCTCTGGGGATACCATCGAGAGTGGTCTCAAACTTGGTATCGGCTCACGATGCGAACGCCTCGCTCTCCGTCGATCGTTATTATAGCAAGGACAACGAGGAACTCGAATACGATCCGAACAATATCGAAGGCGAAGACACCATTTGGAATTATCACGTTTGGAACGATGTCTGGATGGCTAGGCCTGACTTGCCCAAAGGATATGGCGGTTGGCAAGCGATCGATTCAACGCCCCAAGAACCTTCAGAGGGTGTTTACCAGTGTGGACCAGCTTCGGTCGAAGCAATTAAACAAGGGGTTGTCGGATATAATTATGATGTGACGTTTATGCTGGCTTCCGTAAATGCTGATCTTATGAGATGGATAGAGGATCCTGATAGCGAGATGGGATTTAGGAAGATCGACTGCAATAAGTATCAGTGAGTATTTTTAATAATTTTAATATATAAAGTTGGATGCGAAGAGGCATAAAACAATGGAATATTTGAATGTTTTGAAAATGAAATTAATGATAAATTAATAAAAAAAAAAACTACTGTTTTTCTGAAACATGGAATATTTTTATAATTAATCTGCATGAGAAGTGTTCAAAATTCGATGCGACTTATCAATAATATTTTTAGCATTACGAAATACGAAGATATGCGGCAAAAATGTATATTATTAAGTCGACAAGATTATAAAGTATCATTAATTGCAAATAAAATGTTATTCTATTAGCTTCGATTTTCTTTTTGAGTCATCAACTCGTTAAAATTCGCAATCATGGTAATTTTAACCTTGATGACGCTAAGAAGAATATAATCGTACATTATCAATTTATGTAAGAGAATATAAAATATACAAAATTGAATTGACATCTGGAATTACACAATCACATTTCCTTCATATCTCTCAATTTAGAATTTGATTGAAATTGATTTAAAATTGATTTGAATTGAGATCATGTCGAATTTGTTGAGAGAAAAAGAGAGAGAGATTCTTTAAAATATTTAAATATTGATAAAATAATTATAATATTAAATTTCTATTTGACTTATTTTGGTTATATTTTTCTACTCAATGAAAATTTAAATGATTATTTCTTTGTTTTACAGTATTGGTCGGATGATTTTGACGAAAGCTCCTTGGGTCTATGATCCCAATGGCGATAGAGATAGAGAAGATATAACATCTTTGTATAAAGCAAAAGAAGGTAAATATGAATCATATAAAGGCAAAATTAAATGTACAAATGTACATGATCAAACAATATGAAATATGATAAAAGTCAATAAGTAATAGGAATAAATATACATACTTACATATATACTTCTAAATGCTTTTGATCTAAAAGTTAATTATTGTCATCAATCTTCAAGATTGCTATTTTTATTTAAATTTATAAGCTCACTGAATTATTTTAACTCTTGTAATTAAACTCATTGAATTTTAGATTTAATACAATTTCAAGATTGATTTAACTTGTTTCAGTATTATCAATGTTATTAATAATTTAATTAAAATTAGAAACGTTAAGTATCTTTTCTTCACAAAGCTTTTTCTTTGTTCGATTATATCTTCGAGTCTTTGATCGCTTTTTCGTTATTAATATTAATTTAATATTTGTCGTTTAGGAACGGAATTTGAGCGATTAACGTTGTACAGAGCAGTACGCAGTACGGAACTGGCCAAAAGATTTTATTCCTTGCCCTCACCAGCTAAAGAAGACGTTGAATTTGATCTTGTGGACATTGAACGAGTGAACATCGGCCAACCATTTGCAGTGATAGTGAATATAAAGAATAAATCGAACGAAAGACGTACTATTCAAGCTATTTTATCCGCCGGTAGCGTATATTACAAGGGAATCAAGGCACATCTGGTAAAAAGAGCGTCCGGTGATTTCGTTCTCGAACCACATGCCAGTGAGTTTAACAATTTTATATTAATATAATTCGAAAATATTATTATGCATTTCATTTAAATTTATACTCCTTATATGATTTCGATTCAAATATACAGTTATAATTCCTAAATCCATATTATATCCATATATGACTTTCCACTTATGATTCATGTGATTCGTTTTAGTCACGTCTAATTTCTTCTCAGGTGAACAGTTAAGACTCACAGTCACGGTTGACGATTATTTGGACAAACTGGTGGAATATTGTAATATGAAATTGTATTCCATTGCCACAGTAGTCGAAACCAAACAAACATGGGCTGATGAAGATGATTTTCAAGTCTTGAAGCCAAATATTGTAGTCAAGGTAAACCATCATCCGAAATATAATTAGTCATATGAAGATAGCATGCTTGTCAAAAGTTTTTCAAATATTTCTTATTTTTTTTTTTTTTTTACAATTGTAATGTTTTATCATGCAATTATATGTAAATTACAACTTCTTTTTTTCTATTTCTGAAAAAAACAATTTGAATAATTGAAATTCTAATTTATTGAGATTCTTAATTAATCAAGATCATTGATAATCACAATCTAATTAATTCAAGTTCTCCTTTTCTATTTTTTAAGATTTATTTTACTCAGAATCAACATAGATATATAGACTATACAATATATATTATAAATTTTCATTTCTAATTTCTAATCAATCAATATTTTCCAGATTGATGGAGAACCTACAGTAGGAAAACCATCAATTATCAGTCTTAGATTCAAAAATCCTTTGCAAAGGATATTAACAGATTGTAAATTCAATTATGCTGGTCCAGGATTAACAAGAAACAAAACACTAGCATTCAGAGACGTTGATCCGGAAGAGGACGTCTATGTAGAACATCAATTGATTCCTCAAAAGGCTGGATCGCAAAAGATCATTGCCACTTTCACTTCAAAAGAGCTAGTAGATGTCACAGGATCCGCTGTCATTGATGTTCTTGATATGGATGAATAAAATTCTTCAAATTTGAATGATATCAATCTCATTTTCATCTTCGAATAATAAATATCTTGTGAATCGATATCATTAAGTGTCACGCGTTCCATTAAATATTATCATGATTATAGAAATGCATAGTTCTTTTTTTGCAGTCAATGAATATAAGTAAGTGGCTGTAAAAATATTTTAAGATAACGAAGTTGTGAGAATGTATTAACATTCAGATTACATGATCAAAGCTTGAGATCCTATATGAGGAAAGAAATTATATAATGGAAGAAAATAGAACTATATATATATATATATATATATATATATATATATATATAT